TTGGTTTTGATTACCAGCTCAAAGGACATCTCTTGCCACTTAATTTGTAGACTGAGCATGTGTCTTTGCATAACAAGTGAGTAATTCTGATCACTTTATGGCAATCAGTGTGAAATCTCTCTTAAAGCTCATGTATGTTTCATCTGTTGTGTTTAGACTTTTGATGAGGCAGAATTGTGTGAGACCCTGAGAAGAAATGTCAGCAAGTCTGGTTATGTGAAGCCGACTCCTGTGCAGAAGCACGGTATTCCAATCATTTCTGCTGGCAGAGATCTCATGGCCTGTGCCCAGACTGGATCTGGTAAAACGGTGAGATGAAAGAGCATCAGGAACCCTGGAAAAGGTGGAAGTTTGTGGGTAGAGGTTAAATTTATCATTCCCTCTGTAGGCCTCCTTCCTGCTCCCCATTCTGCAGCAGCTGATGGTAGATGGAGTGGCAGCCAGTTGCTTCAGTGAGCTGCAGGAACCTGAAGCCATCATTGTTGCCCCAACCAGGGAGCTCATCAACCAGATCTACCTGGAGGCCAGGAAGTTTGCCTTTGGGTAGGTTGAGACAATGGCTTTAAGAATCATGAAACTCCTTAATTGCCCCAAAGGATGTGGAATACACTCTACAAATAGAAGATTTCCTCAGTTGCATATTCTCCTGGCCTCTGATCTTATTTTGTTTTTACTGGTGTAGAACATGTGTGCGTCCGGTAGTCGTTTATGGTGGAGTCAGCACTGGATATCAGATAAGAGAAATATTAAAGGGATGCAATGTGCTGTGTGGAACACCAGGGAGACTGTTGGATATGATTGGAAGAGGAAAGGTAAACAAATTCAGATTTTTCAGTCATTTGATATGCAAATCAAAGTTGTACAGTTTTTAGTTGAAAGCATAAACTGTATATTAAGATGGACGACATGACAGCTCACATTTGATCACCTTAGGTGGCTGGTTGCAGGTGATAAACCCTTCCCCCTCAATGTTAGCAAATGGTGAGGATTTTAATAAGTTATTTGATGATATAAAAAGAGGTGGGCAGTATTTCAGATGATTTGATAGCCTTGATTGGCAGTCAGATACTGTTCAACAAAGTTGCTGCTGTGAAGAATTTGGTTCCAAAATGGCAGCTGCCGTGTTCATGATATTTTGGTTTCACTTTTGTATAGTAGAGGGAAGGGGTGTCGCATCGACCATCTTTATATACAGTCTATAGTTGAAAACTTAAACATGTAATTAAATGGTGTATGTGCTCCAGGTTGGGTTGAGTAAGTTGAGGTACTTGGTGCTGGATGAAGCTGACAGGATGTTGGATATGGGTTTTGAGCCTGACATGCGCCGCCTGGTGGGCTCCCCTGGAATGCCACCCAAAGAGAATCATCAGACTTTGATGTTCAGCGCCACCTTCCCTGAAGACATCCAGAGGTCTGCTCATGGATCAGCCACTGCTTTTACTGTTGATGTGCATTACTGTCCTACAAGTAAGCTGGGTTGATGAGCATGTATTGGTATTGACCCATGTATTTACAGGATGGCAGCTGACTTCCTCAAGACTGACTATTTGTTCTTGGCTGTGGGTGAGGTGGGCGGAGCCTGCACTGATGTAGAGCAGACGTTCGTCCAAGTTACCAAATTCTCCAAGAGGGATCAGCTCGTTGAGTTTCTGAAGACCACTGGTAAAGTTACTTTTTGACAGCTTTTGTGCTCTGTGTTGAGAAAAAAAACAACCCCTAAACAACAAATAGTTTCACCATTATTTAAGGTAGGTAGGTAGGTACTTTATTGATCCCACAGTGGGGAAATTTCTGTGTTACAGCAGCAATAGAGAACAACCAACATAACACCATAAGAACAGACACATAAGAACAGAACTTCATAGAAACACGGGAAAGAACACAACGAGGACACAGCTGCTGTAAGTACGTAGTAACAAAGAACACTTAGTCTTAAAATAAAAAGTTACATAAAGGCAACAAAGCATTAGGACCAATACGCACAAGGATTATAAAAGTAGCATCATCAGAACGTTACATTTTACACAGCACAAATAAGCAAATCAAAGGCACCTAAAAACAGGGCAAAGCAGCACTGGAGAGAATCAGGAACAGCAGTAGAGACTAAAGAACCAGGAAATCAAGAACAATCGAATATTACTCACACAATTAATCCTACAATGGGGAAAAGAAACCTGTGTTTCAGCGAGGGATCTCTGAGGAACTACTCAAAAATACCTGAAGCAGGGCAATGTACAGTATTGGAGAGAAATCAGGAACAAGATATTACACATGAGCCTATTTACAATGCATTTCATCCCCAAGAGCTGGTTATTGCACCTCCGTCAACTATTACATAGTCTCTCATAATTTCATGTAGCTTATCACTGCAGTGATGTGTTGTACAGTCTGATTGCTGTGGGGAGGAACGACCTGTGGTAATGTTCCTTCTTACACTGAGGATGTAACAGTCTCATGCTAAAATAATTGTTCAGAGCCTCCACTGTGTTGTGCAGGGGATAGGAGGGGTTATGCATGATGGGTTTTAGTTTCGCCAGCATCCTTCTGTCCGCCACCTCCTCAATGGAGTCCAGAGAGCAGGCCAGGACAGACCCAGTGAGGTAGTTAATGATCCATGCAGACGGGTGGGCAGCTCTGGCCCTTCCTGTACAGGGCATCTGTGTTGTTGGTCCAATCCAGTTTATTGTTGAGGTGGACATCCAGGTATTTAAAGGTGTCCACAATCTCAATATCTGAGCCCTGCAAGCTCACCAGCGTGAGTGTTGGTGATTTCCACTGGGGGTCAATCCCCATCTCTTTTGCTGGTCGGTGTTCAGGACCAGGTGATTTTTCTCACACCACTCCACAAAGTCAGTAACAACCCCCCTGTATTCCCCCTTGTCCCCCCAGATTTAATTAATATTTGTCACAACAACAATTCAGATGCTAAGAATAAACACTAAAAACAATTTTCCTGATGCTTAAAACGCAATTTAAGGCTGTTGTGTTCATTAGAACAGCATGTGTATGAGTTAACATTTACA